TACTGATATTAGTGAATACACCTGGAGGTCAAGAGTATTGATAACTAAAGAAGGTATCCTGGTATTAAGTGTAGTAGTCGTATGTGTTTGCTTAAAGCTCATGTTATTCCAGATATTATTTGTGCAGAGACATGAGAAATAGTGTTAGGGACCAGCATATTTCATAGTGGTTAAAGCACTAGACTCTCACATGGCCAACCCCCAGTTCGAGTTCCAGATCCAGTAGCATGAAACTCATGCTGGGTGTTTGTGTGTGTGTGTGTGTGTGTGTGTGTGTGTGTGTGCTCTCAAAATCCTAGGAGTTCCCAAAATCCCAGGAGGAGAACGGAGGAGAAAGGATTGCAGTGTGGCCAACCCCACTGCAGGGGGTGATTTCTCACATTCCCTCTCATTGTCTCTCTCTGTCTCTCTGGCAAGTGCACACACCCTATGGCAAAAACCTAAAACAAATTTTGAAAATAAAAATATAAAGCGTTGGGACCAGCAGATGGCATAATGGTTACGTCACTGGACTCCCACGTAGTCAACTGCAGTTTGAGTCCTGAACCCGGCAGCTTAAAACTCACACCAGATGCATGTGCATGTGTGCCCAAGATCCTGAGAGGAGAATGAAGGAGAAGGGATTGCAATGTGGCCATCCACCCAGGGGGGATTTTTCACTTTCTGTCTCTCTGTCTCTACAGTGAGTGCACGTGCCCTATAACAAAACTCTCTCTAAAATAATTTTATATATAAAGTGTTATTTTAAAAATACTCTTATAAACCTTTAGAATATTGCATAGAATTCTGGTAACCCTATACTTCCTTAAACCCTGGTACTAACCAGTGTATTTTAGAAAGAATTTCCATCCGTCCCCTCAGTCCAGCTCTCTAGTGTGAGAATTTTTTTGCTCTGGCATCCTGCACATAAGGCCCTCTTTTACATCATAATTAGATAGCTAAAATTATATCAGTACCAGACTATGACTAGGGCTAAAGTTATTTCCGAGATTTAAAAAAAAAAAAAATGGAAGACTGAGGTAGAAGGAGAGACTAGGTTTGTTTTATAACTGCACGTGAGTAAAGAATTTTGAGCTTTTACTAAGGGCTTTGGGATCTTTAATCTATCAATAAAAGTCTATGTTTAGTTTGTTTTTCTCCCCCTTAAACAAGTCAGAATACAGGACAGAAGTATGTGGTTACCTTTTCGTAGACAGGAAAGAATCTTGTAGTGGCTCTTTGAAGAATATATTCAAGATTCATCTCCTTCTCTTCAGGAAGAGACAATGGAAAGAACATAATCATGTCGCTCAGGTCCTTCAAGCCTTCTACATACATGTCAATCCTGGAGGAAGAGTGACAATGCAAAAAAATGTAATAATAGTCCCCTTCATGTGGGGAAGTATTATTACATAAGCCAAAGAAACATTTTTAGTGCCTCAGTTTCATCTGCCTCGTTATCAGGTGCCCCACTGAGCAGGTGTTCTTACAAAGCAGTGTTCTATGAGATGAAGCCAAGTGTTTCTACAGGCGTGCTGTTCCTTTGGAAAAGTGAGAGAAGATCAATTTGGGACATAGAAAATTAGAGGACTAAAACGTAGAGTGATTGTGCGTATGTGACACAAATGGTAATTAAAATACATACACACATATAAAAGCTATTAAAAGAAACCCATTGTAGTATATTGGGCAAAGCTTGTATTTGACTATTTAAATGTTGTAACAATAGTGAGCTAGTCATGTTGATACATGGGATGCATGTGGAAGAAGAGGTAATAAGGACTTCTATACTGCCAAAAATCTCTGTGTGGGCTAAAGGTTCTCAAATATATAGGCAATTTGATAGAGCACAGAACTAACTCCACAGGTTTTCACTTGCCACCACCCACATTTCTAGCCAGAATGAATGGAAAGAAGTTCTAGGTACCAAAGTATAGTAAAAAGACTCCTGGTGTGGGCCATGGGAAAACCCATCCTGGTCTAAGGTGAGTCTCTTCCTCTTCCTGAACTATAGTTTCTTTAGCTTTAATCCAAGATAGCAATGGGTATCTCGAAGATGGTATCAAATTTTTTGCCACTAATTATTCCTTTGAATCTGAGTGGTCCTTGGGCCCTTGCTTGACCAGTAGAATGTGAGGAAGCAGTGTTCTTAGACGTCCATGGCTAAGTCATGAGAAGCCTTACAGTTTCCATCTGGTCCTCTTAGAATATTTACTCTAAGGGCAGGCAACCACTATGTAAAAAGTCCAACAGGTATGTGGTGGTTAAGGTGTCGGATTCCCACATGGTTGACCGCAGTTCATGTCCCAGACCTGGTGGCTTGAAAATCACAACAAATAAATAGATAGATAGATAAATAAATAAATAAGAAGAAAAAAAAATCCAACCATGCTGAGAACCTCATGCTATGAGGAAGCCCAGGCTAGCCACATGGAAAAGGCATGTGGAGAGAGAGATGCCCAGCAAGGCCCAGCTATTCCAGCCCTCCCAGCCTAGGTTCCTCACATATGAGTGAAGCATTGCCTGAGGGACTCTTAGAAACAGCCACCTGGCTGAGTCCTCTCAACTCAGAACTGTGAGAGAGAATATCCCCTAGCAACAGATAACCAGATTACTATTCTAAGCATCAAGGTTGTTGTGGTGGGATTTGTAATTGAAAGGGTTTTAAAACATAAAGTGTCTAGGGCTGATTCACATGGGAGGTTGTTGCTTCACAGCTGGAGACTTTGCTGAGTATGATGGGCACATGTGTGTCCATAATCCAGGCTGGCTGAAGTTGGGGATGGATCTTGATGTTGAGATCCTGTCCAGGGTGTTATGTATGCGTGTCTCTCTTTCTCTCTGTCTCTCTTATTCATAAAGTAAAAATTTATATATATAATGTCTAACATAAGCATATAATGGCTAAGTATTCACCAGTAGACTGCACATATGACTGTAGTTCCATACGATTATAATGGAGCTGAAAAAAAATCTTATCAACATCATAGCCATTGTGCTGTCACAGTACATATATTGACATTATGTGTTTCTTTACAGAAGTATTCCAGGTACTTACATCATTTTACTTATCTATATAGAGAGATAATGAGATATATATAAATATGTATGTAGTGTCTAACATTTACAAGGGTTGTTTTTTATCACAATGATAAGCAATGAAAGCACTATTTAAGTTATCGATTCATTTTTAATTTATAAAAACATTAGTTCTGTGAAAGACCTACTTAAAAACCATTTTACATTAAAAGGAACGAGAGCTCCTTAGAGAAGTGACTGAGCCCAGATCTAAGAGTAAGAGATGTACACGACTAATCTGGAGCACCATTTTATAAAGATAATAAAATGTTATTGGAAACCACTAGAGTGAGAGAAAATTTCCAGAGACCACTTGGCTCTCATTAGCCAAGGTAGGAAAATTAGAGCATAAATAACAACTGAAGTGAATTGAAATACATCAAAGGTGTTTAAATTGATGAGTTCATAGTGAGATTAAACCAATAACAACTAGTGGGTCACTGTTGGAGGTTGCAGATGAAACAATTCATTACAGCCATGTCTCATTGAACGACAGAGATTCATGCTGAGAAATGCCTCTTTAACATTGTGCAAACATCACAGAGTGCACTTACACAACCTGAATAGTGTAGCTTGCTACACACCTGGGCTGTCTGGTATAGCCTATTGTTACTCGGCTACTAATCTGTACAGTAACATCCTGCTCTGTCATCCTTTCTTCTGGCCATGCTGCAATCCTTCCTCCTCCATTCTCCTCTTGGGATTTTGGGCATATACGCACATGCTCACAGAGTGAGTTTTAAGCTGCCAGCTCCAGGACTCGAACTGAGGTTGACTACGTGGGAGTCCAGTGCTGTAACCATTATATCACCTGCTGGTCCCTCAATATCAGCTTTAAAAAATATAAAAACTTTTTGTCTCTTTTATAATATTATATAACACTTAGCTTAAAAAACAAACAAACAAAAAACGTTGTATAACTGTACAAAAATAACTTCTGCCCTGTGGCTTAGTGGTTGAGAGAGCTGGATCCCACATGGCCAACTGCATGGTTTGAATCCTCATCCTGGTGGCTTGAAAATCATTCTGGGTACATGTATATGCATGCCCTAAATTCCAACAGGATGGAGAAATGGAGAAGTGATTGTTGTGTGACTACTCTGCATTGGGGAGTGCTTTTTCTCTCTCCCTTTTTCTCTGTCTCTTTCTCTGGCAAGCACATGCACCTTCTGGCAATTAAAAATACATATTTTATTCTTTATATAAGTTTTTATTTTTTAAATGTATTATTATTTACTTTAAATTTTTTTATTTTATTAAAAACTAATATACACATTAGACTAGGCCTACACAGGGTCAGGGTCATCAGTATCAGTCTTCCTCCTCAATATCTTGTCCCACTGAAAGCTGTGATCTCCCAGGATAACAATGCCTTCTGAAATGTCTCCCTAAGGACCTCTACTTTTATATGACCACCAACATGATGTGTTTACATCAGCATCACCACCAACATATGAGTAATGTTGTGCTGTAGCCTCACAATGGCTATGAGACAGGATTTCTTCAGCTCTATTTAATTTTATGGAACTACAGTCAGATGAGCAGTCTATCATTAACCAAAATATGGTTATGTAGCTTATGACTGTATTTAGACAATTGCTAAACAAAGGGAAAGAACTATCAGTCTTGTCTTTCCTGTAGAAAACTATCTCCACCTAACCAGATAGTAGAGGAAGGTATGTTTTTCTTTATAGACGTATTCCAGGTAATAAATCAGAGAGGATGACAGCATGGAACCCCTCAGAAAGGATAGACAAGCAGGTATTTCATGCTTCCTAATAAAATAATGCACCATGACCCTGGAGTATGTCTTGCAGAACAATGAAGGGTTGCCGTTTTAAACTTTGGGTAAAACCAGACTGTTTTTCCAGTTTGTAGATGGTTCTGCCTCTTGCAAAAGGACTGGGGTGTGGATGTGAGAATTAATTGATGCCTCGAAGGCTGAGTTGGGGTAATATCTGCTGTAATGAGTTGGCTTCCAACTGCCACATTCAAAATTGGTTTCCCAGGATCAGACGCCCCATCCCTGGTGTCTGAGTTCCTGTGGGTTCACTTCGTGTGCTGCTCCCACCTAGTGGAGGCAAGCAGGGAGTCACGAGAAAACGGCAGATTTCCTTTACTAATGTGTTTGTCCTTGCTTTGTACTTGAGAGAAAAAAAAATAATTAAAAAATTGCAATTGACCAAGGATTAATCATAGTTGAATTGAGCTTATACTATTCTCTCTCATTTGATCTGTGTTAGATTTATTCCATAATAAAAGGTAAAAAAAAAAAAAAAAAAGGAGAGAATTTTTTTCTCATTTG